TTATTTATTTTTAAATACTTCTCCTCTGGTTTAAAATTGGCATCTTGCTTGTTTTACTCCACTTGTCATGTATTCCATTTTTAATCAACTAATTCTCAATCCTCTTCCCTCCATTGTGTCTCCATCTTTCTAAAGTCGTTTTATCTCATTCCCTTTCTTCAGCATACACTACGATATAATCCGCACACAGCATGCACCATGAACCTTCCCCTTGAAGAGTTTCTGTAATTGCATCCACAACAATATAAAACGCAGAGGGAATTAATGCCAAAGCCTGGAACAATCCAATTTCCTGCTCACTCTTGTCGTTTCTCAAGTTTCATATGCCTCTTATTTCTTGCCTGTTTTCTGATCTTGAATTGTATGTATTCAAGAGAGATCTGCAACCACGCATTCTTCAGAGACTATTTCTAAATCATTATATACTCCCCCTTATAGAGATTTATGAACACGTGTGAAGTTATATAAGAGACGGTAATATCACAATTGGTTATCACAATTTAGATAATTGCCATGATCTATAAAGCCACATTCTGGGCGTCTAATCGATTTAATAATGTAATTTCCTAACAACTAGGTAATATCCATTCGTATTAAGTACTATCAGTCTTGATTTAATTTGATATTTTTTTACAACAATCACCTTGCAGTACACTTTAATTACAATAACAGTAGTAGGAATAACATTAGTAGGAATTAACTGAATATTTACGAAGCTCTCTCATTAACAATATGGTAGGGAAACAGAGGGTAAAAACATAATTCTGTTACGGAAAAAAGTTATGCCACAAAAAATTAAATTCTAATGTTAATTAAACCATAAAACATACTGGAAACTTATGGTATTAAGTGATAAAGAAGAGGATGTATAGCTTTTAATGAGAGGTAGAGATTGAGACAGGGATGGAGATAAATAGGTCGATAGATAGATAGATAAACAGATAGATAGATAAATGTATCATTAGTTTGTATTAACTAATGATAGTTTATTCCTTTTTTGTTATTTTATCACGCATGTCCAATTTCTGTTTTTTGCTGAGCATGATGGGAAATAGAGGTAACGCATGGGAATTTTGAGTCATAAACAAAGATTCATATTATGTTTTTGAAGTTGTATTATAAGTTGCAGTTTTATTTTCTTGTTGTTTTGGGATGCTAGAATTGTATTGAGCATCTTTAGAAGCAGATAAGTATGTTCCCAAAAAAGAGATCTTCTGTTCTAAGTGGAAAACAGGGATAACACTTCACGCTCACCAGATGAGGCAATGTTGTAAGTTTGATTTCTTTATAATTTGCATTAATATTTTGACATAATTTTATTTTTCTTGGAAATTCATATGAGTGATTTGGTATTTGTTTCATTTGTTGTGCCCATGTTATAAGATTTGTGTTATTTGTGTGTTAATGTTTATTGCATTTCGAAATAAATCATAAACCATTATGACAAGCCGTATTATTTCTGGTGACCCGTGAAACATTTCGACAACACTCAGGATGGGGCTCAGCGACGAGGAGCCTCAGCACGGCAGCATGGAGGGCTCTGCTGCTTCGGTAGACGGTTGGATGAAGAATCAGTCAAAAAGGGCTAAGCAGCATAGAGGAACTGCCAAAGGAAAGTTAACACGTAAGCTAGAAAAGTTTTATGAGCATGTGAAAGATAAAGTTGCCTTAGAAATATTGGAAGATAACTATAATTTGATTGTTAAAGCTTTTGAGGAAGTTGAACTAGCAAATGAAAGTTATTGCAATTTACTTGATGAAACTAGTGATACTCAAGAATTAAAGTCTGCAGACATTTACATTAAGGAACTTGACGATAAGAAATGTGCTGCCCATGTTTTGTTTGTAAAGATTAAAGATGAGATGCAAATGAAAGGGGCCATCAAAGTAAAATCTATTGACATTCCAAAGTTTGATGGAAAAATCAGAGACTATAGTAATTTTAAAAGGGATTATGTCAGACTTATGCAACGCAACTATGGAAAAGACCCATTTGCTCTTAGACAGTGTCTCTCAGGAGAAGCCTTAGACTCTATTTGTGGGGTCGAGCATGATTTTGATAAAATGTTTGCACGGTTAGATGACATGTACAGTGATAGTCGACGAGTAATTGATGTAGTAATTGAAGATTTGAGAGAAATTGAACCTGTAGTCGAGGGTGATAGTTTAGGTTTTATCAGAATGGTAGACAAAATTGAGCAAAATTTTCTTTATCTAGATCAGTTGGGTCTATCTTCAGAACTTAATACTGCCAATATGACAAGTCAGATAGAGAAACTCTTGCCTCCAACTCAGAAGCGGGAATGGATCAAAATAGCAGAAAATGTTGAACCTGTTGAATTATTTAAAAAAACTACTGGAATACCTTTTGGGTGAAAGGAAATCCCTTAAGTATCTGATTGCCAGTGTAAGGAACCCTGTTAACACTAAAGCTAGAGTGAACTATGCTGTGTACAATCAAGATAGGATTAGCTCTGACCATACTGAAGAATCAGAAATAATGAAGAGGCTGTCTGATGTTGAGAAGGCTGTAACAAATATAAACAACCTTGTGATCAAGCTTACAGAAGAAAAGAGTGGATTAAAGAGGTACACATTTGAACAGGTGTTGGTATCATGGAACAGATGGACATGATATTTTAGACTGTGCAACATTTCAGAAGTTAAACAATAGTGAGAAATTTGAAATTCTAAGGAAAAGAGGTATCTGTTTTAATTGTCTAAAGGGAATTCATGTATCTAGGAGATGTTTTAAAAAATCAAGATGTTCTGCAACTGATGCAAATAATCAAACTTGTGGGAAGCTCCATCACACGAGCCTTCATGAAAATCAGATTGTTGGGAGTTCATACGTCAGCTTGAAAAGAAATGGAGTCATGTTCATGGTCAATAAGATTAAATGTAATAATCAAGTATTAAATACACTCTTTGATTCTGGGGCTGACGTGACAATGATACGAAATGATATGGCAGCCTCATTAGGATTGAAAGGCAAGCATATACGCTTAGCTGTGACTAAACTAGGAAACCAGACTGTAACATATAACAGTAAGGAATATGACCTTGTTCTTACTGATAAACAGGGGAATAATGTGAATATTACTGCTTATGGTATAGATGAAATAACATCATGTATAAACAAGGTTAATCTGTCACATGTGAAGCATTTATTTAAGAGTACTGATGTATGCCAATTGGATAGACCTCATGGTAAGATAGATTTACTGATAGGTGCTGACTATTGCTCTCTAATCCCTACAGTTAAAGAAACTGTAGGTGAAAATTTACAACTTATGGAATCTCGATTTGGGATGTGTGTTCGTGGTAGTCACCCTAGTATAGCTTGTGCCTCAGGTACTAGGGATATTGTAGGCATCAGAATAAACCATATTTCTGGGATTATATATGACAAAGATATAACTGTTGAACCGAAATCTGATATTAAGGATCAGATTGATAAATTTTTCACAGTGGAATATTTAGGAACAGAATGTAATCCTAGATGTGGTGATTGCAAATGTGGCAAATGTGCAGTGGGTAACAATGACTATAGTATTAGAGGAGAGAGAGAGTTAGCCCTAATTGAAAAAGGATTACAATATGATTCAGAGAAAAAACAATGGTCCGCTAAATTCCCATGGGTTAAAGACCCTAATTTATTACAGAATAATATCTCTGTTGCTGTTGCCAAATTAAGGAGTACTGAGAAGAGATTGCTGAAACTTGGACCAGAATATGCTAAAGCTTATAACAACCAAATAAGGGATATGATCATACGTGATGTTGCACGTAAATTAACACCAGATGAAATAAAAGGTTATGCTGGTCCTATTACATATCTTCAACATCATGAAGTGCTAAAGCCAGGATCTACATCCACACCAATTAGGATTGTCTTTAATTCCTCTGCCAAATTCATGGGACAATCTCTAAATAGCTTTTGGGCCAAGGGTCCTGATGTTTTGAATTCCATGGTGGGCATATTACTGAGATTCCGTGAAGGAGCCATAGGTATAGCAGGTGATATAAGTAAGATGTACAACAGTATTAAGCTTCCTGAAATGGAGCAACATGTACGCAGATTTGTTTGGAGAGATTTCCAGTTGAATTGTGAGCCTGAGCATTATGTGTTAACTTCAATGGGCTTTGGTGACAAACCTTCTGGAATAATTGCTATGTTGGCTCTTAAACACACAGCTGAGCTATGGATGGAAAAGTATCCCGATGCTGCTTCTATGATAATATCAAATTCTTATGTTGATGATATTATACAATCAGTTGAGAGTAAAGAGAAAGCTTTGCAGTTGATTCAGGAAACTGAGAAAATACTCTCATATGGCAATTTTAAGGTAAAGCAGTGGATTATGACTGGTGATGTTGATAAGGATGATCTAGATTTTTCAGAGAATGAAGGCGATAAAATTCTTGGTTTATATTGGGATCGTTGGAATGATGAATTTAAATTCAAAGCAAGGTTGAATTTTTCTCCTAAATATAAGGGTATACGAACAGGTCCAGATTTAAAATTTTCAAATTTTATTTGTAACATTCCTCCAGTTTTAACTAAGAGAATTGTTATAAGTCAGATGTGTTCTGTGTATGACCCACTAGGTTTACTTCTTCCATACACATTGAAAGCCAAAATATTATTACGGGAAACTGTCAGTTGCAGCACCAAGTTAGGATGGGATGACCCTTTCCCTGCCCATATGAAAGAGCAATGGGTAGTACACTTTCACAAATTATTTGGGATTGATTCCTTGTCATTTGAAAGATGTGTCAAACCACCCACAGCGATAGGTCTGCCTATGCTTGTTATTTTTAGTGATAGTTCATCAAATGCATATGGTGCTGTGGCTTATGCTAGGTGGAAAATGAAATCTGGAATGTTTGAAAGTAAGCTAATAATGGCAAAAGGAAGAATAGCTCCTACCAGACAACTTTCCATACCCAGACTTGAATTGTGTGGAGCAATTATTTCATGCAGACTACGCAAATTAATCGAAAATGAATTATCATATAGATTTAGTTCAGTAATGCATATAACAGACTCGGCTATTGTGAGAGCACAGATCCAAAAGGAGTCGTATGGATTTGGGACTTTTGTAGCAACACGGGTAGCAGAAGTACAATCGAAGAGTAATCCCAATGAATGGTGGTGGATTGCTTCTTGTCACAATCCTGCAGATTTACTTACTAGACCTAATGATCCATCAGATATTATCATCAGTTCATTGTGGAAGTATGGCCCAAAATTCATGACTCTACCCAAAGAAGAGTGGCCAATAAGTCAATCTATTGAATGTGACTTGCCTGATAGAGTCCATGTGAATTTAACACACTGTCTGAAGGACTCAGATGAATGTGTTATTGATTTATCTAAATTCAAAAATTACAATAAACTTATTGCAGTTACTGGTAGGATATTAAATGTAATGAAGATCAGATCTTTAAAGGGTATCTTATTAAGACTTGAACCTGATATTCTAAATGAAGCATTACAATTTTGGATCAGGCAAGCACAGAAATGTTTTTCTGGTAATTGGAAACAGAAATATCAAAGATTGGGACCATACAAGACTGAAAATGGTATAATTATGGTAGGTCAAAGACTGGAGCATTGGTTAAAACAAAACTGGAATCAAGATAACTTTATCCTGTTACCCAGGAAACATTTGTTTACTATACTTTATATTAGTCATTTGCATAATATAGATCATGCTGGAGTGGATGTTACACTTAGTAAACTGCAGACAAAGTTCTGGGTTCCTTCAGCACGTAAAGTCATCAGAGCAGTGAAACGTAAATGTGTTACTTGTAGGAGATTAGATTACAAAGTTGAAGGTCAGTGCATGGGTCAAGTCGCTACTGAAAGAATAACTCCATGTCCAGCTTTCTATCACACTGCTACAGATATCTTTGGGCCATTTCAAATAAGAGACAATGTGAAGAAAAGAACTACTGATTCTTTCAATACAAAGAGAAGGTTAGATTATATACAAAATGTTGTTAATACATTTTGGCGTAAATGGCAAAGAGATTATTTCCCTACATTAATTGTTAGACAAAAATGGCATACTGATAAAAGAAATCTGCAGTCTGGTGATATTGTGTTGATACAAGATTCTAATACAGTTAAAGGAAAATGGAAAATGGGACAAGTTGTAAAAGTAGAAAAGGGAAGAGACACTAAAGTTCGGGATGTGAGTATTAGATATAAAGTGCAGAAACCAGGTAAAGAGTACAAAGGTCAGTCTGATACTATCATTAGAAGATCAGTCCACAAGCTGGTTGTATTATTACCGGTGGAAGAACAATGATTGTGTGGGGGAGTGTATCATTAGTTTGTATTAACTAATGATAGTTTATTCCTTTTTTGTTATTTTATCACGCATGTCCAATTTCTGTTTTTTGCTGAGCATGATGGGAAATAGAGGTAACGCATGGGAATTTTGAGTCATAAACAAAGATTCATATTATGTTTTTGAAGTTGTATTATAAGTTGCAGTTTTATTTTCTTGTTGTTTTGGGATGCTAGAATTGTATTGAGCATCTTTAGAAGCAGATAAGTATGTTCCCAAAAAAGAGATCTTCTGTTCTAAGTGGAAAACAGGGATAACACTTCACGCTCACCAGATGAGGCAATGTTGTAAGTTTGATTTCTTTATAATTTGCATTAATATTTTGACATAATTTTATTTTTCTTGGAAATTCATATGAGTGATTTGGTATTTGTTTCATTTGTTGTGCCCATGTTATAAGATTTGTGTTATTTGTGTGTTAATGTTTATTGCATTTCGAAATAAATCATAAACCATTATGACAAGCCGTATTATTTCTGGTGACCCGTGAAACAATAAATAGTAGATACATTGGCAGACAGATAGATATATAGATGAGCAGATATTTAGTTATACAGATAGATAGACAGATGGTTAGACAGATAGATAGACAGATTGAATGGTTGATAGATAGATAAATGGATAGATTGCTATCAAGGAAGTAAATACGCCACTGGATTATAAAGCTGAATATGTCTCGTTAAGGTTATTTTATCGATGCTGTAGAAGATTTTGTAAAATTTGCTGCACATCGTAAAGATTTGGCGTTGTGTGAGACAGAGGGCGCCCAAGACAGATTTGCACGCCATGTAACGTGCTGGAAAGAATTAAAATCTTAATTGTTCTAACGGGTGACGATGCTGTTCTATTTCTTGGTTATCTCCTTGTTAAATCGAAAACAGATAAAGAAAAACGACTATCCCTTTCCTCTACTACCCCCCCTCTCTCTCTCTCTCTGTATCTCTCTATCTGTGAAGATCTATGTGTCTATCTATCCATCTTTCTCTTTGCTCTCTCTCTCTCTCTCTCTCTCTCTCTCTCTCTCTCTCTCTCTCTCTCTCTCTCTCTCTCTCTCTCTCTCTCTCTCTCATTTGTTCTTCCTCTCGAGAGACTAATAAACTAAGAGAACTAAGGCTAAAGCTAGGGAATGAGACCAAGTGCACACGTGTTCGCAAATATACATATGTCTTCGCTCCCGGTCATTTTAACCTTAAGATTTTCCTCTTTTCCTTTTTTTCCTCTTAGTTGCAGTAGCTTTGAATGTTTTTTTTTTTTTTTTTTTTTTTTTTTTTTTTTTTTTTTTTGTTTGTTTCTTTCTCCTCGTTTCTTTTATGTCTATTCTACTCGTTTCTTTTACGCGTCTTTTCTTCTCTCTTTCCTTTTCTTCTCTCTCCTTTTCTCTCCCCAACGGGTTTTCTCATCAAGGTGAGAAAATATTTTTTCTCTTCAAGGTTGCGCTAAAGAAGAGCTTTCGTCAACAACCTCCTGACTGTGCAAGATTTATGTGTTGTGTTATTATTTTTGTTTGTGTGTGTATGTGTTTGTTTGTGTTTGCTTGTTTGTATGTGTGTGTGATTGTATTTGTGTGAGCATGTAATAATGATTTAGGGTTTGGCGTGACAGGCTCCTGTTACTTTAGTCAAATTACGGCTGTCTGTTTATTTTGCTACTAAATTATCCCTTATGTGCAAGGAATGGCTGGGATTACGTTCAAGTGGCAGTGCGGGCTTTGAACGCGGGTCAGCAAGATTGCTAGATGAGAATGTACTTCTCTGATGTCTGTGTGTGTTAGTTTGTGTGCTTGTATTTGTGTATGTTTGCGTGTGTATGTGTGTGTGCGTGCGTTTGTGTATAATGCTGTGTGTATGTGTGTGTGTGTGTGTGTATGAGTGTTTGTGTGTATGTGTGTGTGTGATTGTGTGTGTGTGTGTGTGTGTGTATGTGTGTGTGTGTGTATGAGTGTTTGTGTGTATGTGTGTGTGATTGTGTGTGTGCGTGTGATTGTGTGTGTGTGTGTGTGTGTGTGTTTGTGTGTGCGTGTTTGTGTGTGTATGTGTGTGATATTAATAACACTACTATATAGTAGTTTCTTATTCTGCTATATCTTTCAATTTTTACATTATATGCTTATTCATTAATGTTTTTCTTTCTCACTTAGCTGTTAATTATATTTTCACAATGATAAGAAACAAATAAATTATATTTACTTACTCAATGAAAAAAAGGGTAAATACAAATGTATTACAGGTAATTATTTTCTTATGAGTGATCTATAGAAGTTGTGACCGAAATTAAGGGAGAATGACGAAAAAAAAATGGCTGATGATGACGATGATGATGGTGATGATGATGATGATGAACAATGGCAGCAATAATGCTAATGAAAGAGTTATCAACAATGATGATAATAGTTGTAATAATGACAATAATAACGAAAATAGTACTAATAATGACTATAATAACGAAAATAGTACTAATAATGACTATAATAACGAAAATAGTACTGATAACAATGATGATAATAATGATGTGACATTGATAAGAGAAAATATAAAAACGAAGGAGACAGAAGGGAAAGAAGGGGAAAAAAATGTCAAAAAAAGGAAAACGAAAAAATGAAAAGAAAGGAGAAATGGAGCAAAAAGAAAAAGTTGAAAGGAAAAAGGAAACAATGAAGAAAAAGCGAAAAAAATGTGAAGAAGCGAGAGACGGAGAGGAAGGAAGAAGACGGAGGACAAAGGCGAAAAGAAAGGGAAAGAATAATATGGAAAAAGAAGTATATAGATACAATATAGGTTATAGATGAAAAGGAAGAGAAAAGAGACGATAAAGAAATAATTCAAGTAAAATAACTACATAATTAGATAATAAAAATGTAGATATGTAGACATACAGATATATTCATATCTACATTACCCCCGGCCATCGCAAAAAAAGAGACAAAATAAAGAACCAAAGAAAACAAATCAATAAACAAATAAAACTCTCTCTCTTTCCCTTTCCTTCACTCCTCTTTTCTCTCTTTTCTTCCAGTTTCATCATCCTTTGCCCTTTACGATGAATTTCGCCGAATCTAATCACGATTAGAATTCTGCCCGCTGGCCTCTGATAAAATCGGGAGCCAAGGCGAGGGATTAATGGCGTCGAGGCGGTGATCTTGAATGACTTCGAAGGAGGAAAAGGAGAGGAGGAAAGAAGGGGTGGAAGGGAGGGAGGGAGGTGAGGAGAGGGAAGAGAGAGAGCGGGGAGGAAGGGAGGAGAAGGGTGGAGGAAGAGGAGAGGAGGAAAGAAGGGGTGGAAGGGAGGGAGGGAGGGAGGAGAAGGGTGGAGGAAGAGGAGAGGAGGAAAGAAGGGGTGGAAGGGAGGGAGGGAGGGAGGAGAAGGGTGGAGGAAGAGGAGAGGAGGAGAGAAGGGGTGTAAGGAAGGGAGGGAAGTGAGGAGAGGGAAGAGAGAGGGGGGAGGAAGGGAGGGGAGGGAGAAGGGGTGGAAGGGAGGGAGGGAGGTGAGGAGAGGGAAGAGAGAGAGGGGGGAGGAAGGAATGGAGAAGGGGTGCAAGGAAGGGAGGAAGGGAGGAGATGGGTGGATGAAGGGAGGGGAGAGGGGTGGAAGGAAGAGAGAACGGGAGGAGGGAGGGAGAAGGGGTGGAAGGAAGGGACGGA